TCCATTGTAAGTTAATGGGACGCATCAATAGCACATCGTTTCTGCATTTTTATGCATTTTTTGAGTCACATATCCATGTTTCACAGGTGCATGGTGGAAGTCAGAAAATCAGAAAGTGCAAAATCCCCCATTAAAAGCGTGTTAAAAATGCGATAAGTGTTTTTGAAAAATGCATGCCATATTTTTAAACTCACCAGTGTGAAAGGGCACTTAAAAGACACAGATGACAATAAAAATCTGAACTGTAAGCGAATAAAGGACAACGGCACTTATGTGACCTAAACACACCAAGACAAAAAAAAATTTACATTTAAATTAAAGCCCACACATACTGTATGTGTCCCCAGCTGCAGCTCCTTTACATGTACCCCTGTACATGAATATTACTAAATGTGAAAAAAGGGAAGCCGCGCTACCTAATTAAATACATTAATCCAAATTCAAATTCAAATTGTGAATTTAAGGTAATGTATTTGTAGGTGGAGTGCAGCGTGGTGTAGAGGCCATAATATACACAGTCCAGGTAAGATATAAGAAATTGTATTAGAGCAATGTAACAGTCACAAACCTGGTGGGAAGACACCCCAGCCGGGAGCACTCATGGGCCCCAACAGCATGTAAAGAGCATGTTTCAAACTGACATTGCCTGTGTTGAAGAGCAGAGTGTGACCTGGCAATCTTGTACCCAAGTGGCAAGATACTCAGAGAAGTTGTCAGCCCTTTGCTTTCCCTCCTCATCTGGAACCTTTCCCTGCCTCTAGACCTGTCCTTAACAGGCGCGGTATCTGAACGTACTCAATCCACATGCAGGTGTGCACCAAAACTAGGGGGCAGGACATATAAAGCCTCTGCTGGCCCAAGATGGACGCCAAGGGTCATCTGAATGCAGAACATCCAACCAAAGCAGTGCCTTCAGAGGCCAGGAAACTATAGAGAAACTAGATTTCACCTAACTTCCTTTCCAGGTTTTGGTATGACTCAGGGCTTACGCCACCTACAGTAGAGAAAGCTGACTGCCTACATATTTAATATCACATTAGTATATATAGGGGATTTACACAAATATTTATACCTCATTTGGTAGCACGACTTCCCTTTTTCACACTAAGATGGATTGAAATCAAGCCAGTTCAGCAGCAGCCAGCCAAATTTCTATCCATCTATTGCAGTTTCTGTTAGAGAGCAGTCAATCTATCGATCGGTTTCTCTCGTACGGGAATGCTAGAAAATGTTCATTTGATCAGCATATAAGCAGGTTGCAACTAGATAATTAGGTGCTGCCCCAGATGGGAGGTGTAGGATTAACTGTACTTCACGGGTTGTGCGTTTGGCGGGTATTTTAAGTCCAACCCACTGGTCCTGTGATTTTAAAAAGGGCTGGTAATCCAGAGCCCAGAGAGCAGGAATGGGAACCCTGAGCTCTTTTCTGGCTTCTGTGCAGCTGATCCTCAGCCTGCTGGAGTTGCTATCATCTGCTAACTTCTGGAAGCCCATCTCAATGTAAGGGGCCATTGGAGCCTAGGGTTCACCCAAAGACACCAGCTACTGGAGAATGCCACTGATGGACCTCTATTCACATGGACAGTACCTTTGCAGGTATGCTAAGGCAGCGCATAGCCTGAGCAGAAGTAGGGATTAAGGATTTAGGAAAAAGGATTGTTCTTGTCTATGGGACTTTGCCGTATTTTTGATACTTTTATTAAGTAAAATGTTAAACCTTGCTTCTTGCCTGGTCTGAAGTTCTTTAAACAAGTGTAATGCAAGTAACCGGCACACTTCTACAAGCCTCGGGTCACTAGCACATTGAGGTAAGAAGATTCATCCTAGCACAAGTTCTGCAAGAAGTTGCCTTGGGCAACGGAGATCTACAATCTGTTAAGCAGCCTGTTAATAGCATGTACCTGTTATACAGTTGCAAGAGAAAGTATGTGAACCCCTTGGGATTACGTGGAGTTTTGCATGAATTGGGCATAAAATGTGCTCTAAACGTCATCTAAATCTCAATAGAAGAACACAGTCTGCTGAACATAATACTACACAAACATTAGATGTTGCCATGGTTTAATTGCACATAACATGTAAACATGTTATGTGAACCTTTGAACTTAATAACTGGTTGACCCTCCTTTGGCAGCAATAACCTCAACCAAACGTTTCCTGTAGTTGCAGATCAGACCTGCACAACGATCTGGAGTAATTTTGGACCACTCCTCTTCACAAAACTGTTTCAGTGTAGCAATATTCTTGGGATGTCTGGTGTGAATCGCTCCCTTAAGGTCATGCCACAGCATTTAAATCGGGTTGAGGTCAGGACTCTGACTGGGCCACTCCAGAAGGCGTATTCTGTGCTGTTGCAGCCATTGTTTTGTTGAATTACTTGTATGCTTTGGGTCATTGTCCTGTTGCATCACCCATCCTCTGCGGAGCTTCAGTTGGCGGACAGATGGTCGTACGTTTTCCTGCAAAATGTCTTGATAAACTCTGGAATTCATTTTCCCATCAATGACAACAATCCGTCCAGGCCCTGAGGCAGCAAAGCAGCCCCAAACCATGATGCTCCCTCCGCCATGTTTTACAGTGGGGATGAGGTTTTGATGTTGGTGTGCTGTGCCTTTTTTTCTCCACACATAGTGTTGTGTGTTCTTCCCAAACAACTCAATCTTGGTTTCATCTGTCCACAGTATATTTTGCCAGTAGTGCTGTGGAACATCCAGGTTTTCTTTTGCAAACTTCAAACGTGCTGCAATATTCTTTTTGGACAGCAATGGCTTCCTCCATGGTGTCCTCCCATGTACTCCATTCTTGTTTAATGTTTTCCTTATTGTAGATGTGTCAACAAAAATGTTAGCATGTGCCAGAGATTTCTGTAGGTCTTTAGCTGACACTCTGGGATTCTTCTTTACCTCATGCAGCATTCTGCGCTGTGCTCTTGCAGTCATTTTTACAGGACGACCATGCCTAGGGAGAGTAGCAACAGTGATAAACTTTCTCCATTTGTAGACAGTCTGTCTTACCGTGGACACATGAACATCAAGGCTTTTGGAGATACTTTTGTAACCCTTTCCAGCTTCATGCAAGTCAACAATTCTTGATCGTGGGTCTTCTGAGAGCTCTTTTCTGCGAGGCATGGTTCACATCAGACAGTGCTTCTTGAAACCAGTAAACCCAAAACAGGTGTGTGTTTTTTAAGGACAGGACAGCTGTCAGCAACATATCCAATATCATCACACTGATTGGAGTCAAGGTTGGCTCACTCCTGGCTCCAATTAGCTCTGGGAGAAGTCATTAAGCTAGGGCCTCACATACTTTTTCCTCCCTACATTGTGAATGTTTACATGTTATGTGCAATTAAACCATGGCAACATCTAATGTTTGTGTAGTAATATTTTCAGCAGACTGTGTTCTTCTATTGTTGTGACTTAGATGATGTTCAGAGCACATTTTATGCCCAATTCATGCAAAACTCCACGTAATCCCAAGGGGTTCACATACTTTTTCTTGTAACTGTAGGTGGAATATCCTCTAGCAGCAAGGGAAATGTTGTTGGTGCTCCCTGCACCACGTTCTGTCTCTTATAGCAACGGGAGCAGATCTGCACTGCAGAGATTCCCATCCTGTACAGAATGGACGTTCACGAGTTAAAGTCAAGTGCACGATGGGGCCCACTCTGCTACTGGGCACAAGTGGCTGTGGTCAGTGTTTGGAATGGCCATCTTAATTGCAAACTGTAGTGGAAAGATGTACATTTACACGTAGAACCAAAAGTTAATTGGAGGACAGCTATTGTGCTTAAGGTCCACCTTAAGGATGAGTATTCCCTGATGGTGGCCTCAGTCTTGCCCCAAGGCACTGGTGAAAACAGCAACAAAGGTATCCCATGTAGGAGAGCGATCCTGCTATAGGTGCCCTAGCATAGCCCAGAAGAACCCAATCTTCTTATGTGACCCAGACTCAGTGATCAAAGAGTCAAGTGGGAAAACATGGAGGAAAGCAATGCCCTGCTGCTCCCTTCCTTCCCTGTCCCCTAAGAAGCATGTGCATCAGTGTATTCTGAGAGCGGTGGAATCCCAATTTCAGAATATGATAGCACTAAAGGGAGGATTCCTCCATCCACCTCTATTGTGTGGATAACGGAACCCATTCATTGGTTGACTGGCTATTCAAAAGAAAAACAATCCATCTATGGCTAACTTAAGTAGTAAAGATCAAGAAATCAAATGGCAGCCCTGGAACATTTGCCTTTTACAACTGACTGAACCCAAGACAGCTGTATATGTCTTACTTTTAGCTACACTACTAAGTACTTAGTACTCTACTACTACTAACCGTTCCCCACTTGGTGGAAAAAAAATAGAACATTTTGGCTGGAGTTTAACTTTAAATATGATTTTATTTTTTGTAGGCATTAAATACAGCAGGTTATTCAGGCAAGACGAACGTTCACAATTTTAATTGTTTGAGAGTAGGCTGTAACTATAATGCCAAAGTAGAAAATGTATCTGAAATTGGTTTGTTTAAATGTGAGCGTAAATGTTCTTAACCTGAAAATGCATAATTCTTGTGCAATATGTAGGTTACACAGGGGACTAATGAGAAGCATTGGGATGGAACCTGGATGTTCAAAGCTAAAGAACCTCACTTCACCTCAAAATAGTCACAAGGCATAATTCATTAAAACTGAACTGCCTGCGTGGTGAGGATCTTTCCTATTAGCTGTCCAGAGCCAGGATCCCCTCAGAATCCAGAATCTGTAGGCAATGATAGGGGCTGCATTACTGATTTTCTGGTTCCCTACCAGGGGCGGACTGACAACTCATGGGGCCCCCGGGCAATAGAGGATCATGGGGCCCCTGTGTCCTTGCCCAAACTCAAAAAAGCCTGTGAAAAAGGTACCAGGGGCATCTCATGGAGCCCCCTACTGACCCCGGGCCCACAGGCAGTGCCTGAGTTTCCAAATGGTCAGTCTGCCCCTGTTCCCTACAACCAGCAAAGGTGCTAACGAGGGACCAAAATGGTGGATTTGATAATAAGGCAAAGCCAATTTTCTGAGACAGTTCACTCAAAATTTTATAGAGAAACTGTTTTACTTTAAAGGTGGTCCACAAAGCTTTGAAACTGGGCTCTTAGACGCTCAGCTCTGTCAGCTGTGTCAGATAGGTAAAGGGAATGTGTCCACAGCCTTTTATAAGCTTCAAGTGAGGAGCAGTTTACAAAGGGCTAAGGCAAGCCAAAAACGATGCAATTGCACAAAAATCATTCAATTCCCCCATCAACAATGACTATGTTGATGGGGGAACCTATCTCATGGAGCTATTGTGTTCATCCAGTGGGGTGGGTGCGGGGAGGGAGGGGAGCTGTCCCTGCCAAGAGAACACAATTCCATGAAAAATCTGACATGCAGTTATACCTAAGTCATACAACAATCTAATGGGGTAAAGTCAGCCTGTCCACAGATGGTTCGATTCTCAGCCAGTTCCTGCTGATCCAGCCGAGATTCAAACCATCTATGCCCGGCTTAACTTTCTTTTAGCTGAACAAAAGAAAGGTATGTACTGTGTAAGTGCTGGCAGTGCCAGAATAAAAATGAACCTGTTTATTTTGCCCTGTATGAGTCCATGCTGTGTTCATTATTATTATTATTATTATTATACAGTATTTATAAAGTGCCAACAGTTTGCTCAGCACTGTACATTACAAAGGGGGACAGAACATGCGACAGTACAGTAACAATACAATGCGATACACAAGGGGATGATGCACATTAACCAGGTCGATCAATGGCAAATGGCAAACATCAGCAGCTGGTTTGGCAACATTTGTGCTTCAAGAGATAGGACAGAGTTATGGAATCGTGGGTCATTGACTCATAACAAAAAGAAAAAAAAAACTCCATACAAGTATGAGCAAACCTGGTAGGATCCCTGCACACATACTGTATATACCTTGACCCTCACACATGGTCCTATTCGAGGACAGTTAGCAGTAACGGTTGCATCCAGTAACAGGAGATAGTACAATCACCTATTTTAGTGCTTGGAAATTGCAAATCTGATGAGTAAATATTGACTGTAGAAGGGAGTGTAGCAGCCATAGTGACAGCCATGATGGAGGGATTAAATAAGCCATTTTGAATGCGTACTGTTCCTGCCTAAAAGTCATTAAAAACATTTAGCACTTCGTTTTTGTTAATTATCTGTCTGTTATTTAGTAAGCCATCATGGATATAGTACCAGTATTACTGCAGCAATCTGACTTGCAGCATCTTGACTGCACTTCTGTATCTAAGGATCTCATTGGTTAGATTTAGATTAATTTAATTACCTTTCCAAAAGAGTGGCCTTTTATTTGTATCAGACCCTTTGATAAACACGTATAGGGAAAGGATTAGGGAGACACTCGTAAACAAAATTTATTGTAAGTTATTATAGAATCGGTTAGAAAAAAAGGTTTATGAGGAGAAGTTATAGGTGAAGATGATAAGATTTATTGTGAGCAGTTAGAGAGTGAATTGGAGTAGATGGAAGAGATAGTTACTAGAGAAAACAGTTTCCATAGAAATCTACTGTACTAATCCTCATAGCGTGTCTACGTGGTGTAAGGCTGGTCATAGACAGGCAGATATCTAATAGAGAACACAGGGGAAGATATTTCCTTGGCTAAGTGTTTAAGTGATGCCAGTGCCCCCAAAATCATCTTCAAATTTTACAACAGGTGGATGTAACATAGGCATGGTAAAATCTTTGGTCCCTTTTTTATACAGAAAAGATTGGATATTGGGCAAAAAGACATTCACTATAATGCTGTTAAGCACACCTTTCTAAAAACCCCATTGTTAGGTCCAATATGGTTAGTCTAGCTATTCCCAAGCTATCTATTTTCAACATTTATATATACATATACACACCGATCAGCCATAACATTATGATAACCCACCGACTGTTGAGTAGGTCCTCCTTTTGCAGCCAAAACATCCCCTTTCACCACCAAAACAGCCCTGATCTGTTGCTGCATGGACAAACACTAGACCTCTGAAGGTATGGTGTGGTATCTGGCACCAAGCTAGCCGATCATTTAAGTACTATAAGTTGCAAAGTGGAATTCCTGTCAGTTGTGAAGTGGGCCTCCATGGATTGGACCTGTTTTTCCAGCACATTCCACAAATGATTGATCTGGAGAACTTGGAGGCCAATTCAATACCTCAAACTGGTTGCTGTGTTCTCAAACCATTCTTGTACCATTTTGCACTTGGCAAGCAACCATGTTTAGGTAGGTAGTACATGTCAAAGTACCATCTGCATGAATGGCAGGACCAAGGTTTCACCGCAGAACATTGCACCAAAGCATCACGCTGCCTCCGCTGGCTTGCCATACTGCATCCTGGGGACATCGCTTCCCCAGGTAAATGAAGAATATGCAGCCATCCACATGATGTAAAAGAAAATGTGATTCATCAGACCAGACCACCTTGTTCCATTGCTCTGTGGTTCAGTTCCGATGCTCATGTGCCTATAGTATGCGCTTTGGAGTATGGACATGAGTCAACATGGGTACCCTGACTGGTATGCTGCTACGCAGCCCCATGCACAACAAACTGTGATGTCCATTTTTTTCTGCTTCAACACATCAACTTCATAGACAGCATGTTTACTTACTGCCTAATATATCTCACTGACTTTCAGTTTACCAATGTAACGAGATAATCAATGTTATTCACTTTGCCTGTCAGTGATCATAATGTTTTAGCTGATTGGTGTATATATACAGTATATATAATGTAAAACAATCAACCATACATTCAATTGGTTCAAACAACCCCATGGGGCTGAACTGGAGCAATCTTAACAGTGTATGGCCACCTTTATTTACCGGCCCTATCATTTTACATTGTATTGTAATTGTACTGTCTGCCCTTAAATTGTAAACAGTGGTGTATTTAGGTATTGTACTGCCCTAGACAACACAAAAATCATTTGACCCCACAGACACAGACTAACACCCCCTCTTCCCCCTTCTGTGGAGAGAGCCTGACATTGACCAGCAACACCCCTGCCCCACATCTGGGAGAGCCTTCCACTACCCCCCCTTCCCAGCATTAGAGAGAAAGACACCCATCTTCACAGCTCTGGACATCCCCGGGAAAGAGAGTCGGGCTCTACATAGACCATCAAGCATCATGCAGCCTCTCTTGGATCCCACCTGGTTCCCATGGCGTGCATGTCCCTTCTTCCATCCCTTCTTCTGGGGAGAGGTGCTGCCCCCCTGAAAAATGTCGCCCTATGCAAGTGACTTGTTTACCTTGTGGTAAATACGCCCCTGTTTGTAAAGCACTGTGGAAACTGTTGGCGTTATATAAATCTTGTGTAATAATAAAATTTCCATCTGTGCCAGTATACCTAGAACCATCCAGAAGAATCAGCTAGAACAGTAGGCCAAACATCCACCATGCTCTGCAAGCAGATCAATTTTAGGTTTATGGACCCTGAATGCATACTTTTTAGGTACATAACACAATATTTCACCAATTAAAATGTGAAAAACTATGTAAGAGTAGCAACAATAACATGACTGCCACCAGAAAGGTGGAAGGTAGTCTTAGTCTTGAACTTCCCATCACACACAAAATTGTGTAACTAGCCTCAAAATAATGTGCAGGTTTGCCCCAGGCCACGGACTATGTTGGCTATGTAGAAATTTGTCCCTATAAGGTCTCATGCAGAAAGAACATTTAAAGAATACTCTCCTAGAAGCCTTCCTCTTGGCAGCAGCATTTTTGCAGATTCTGGCCATTGAAATTAATTAACGCTCAAGTGCTAAAAACACCTAGCGTCTAGCCGCGTTTAGCCATATCAAACGTTTTTTCTGCCAAAACACTGCTGCTCCTGGATGCACTGGCCCTGGACTTTTTTTTTCTGCTGGTAAATGCTACTGCTGCTAAAAGATTCTAAACGTCTATGTGTGCATGGACACTTAAGATAACATGGAGGTCCATTTGGAAGCAGGAAAGAAAATGCCTGACGCCTCTAAAAGTGGCTGCAAAAATGCCCTGTGTGCACAAGGCGCAAAAGTTACACCAATTTACGCATCACTAATTATGGTATAAAAAATTATTATTACCTATTATTTGATCATCATTTTTTTCAGATAGCTTTACCATGAAGATTTTTTTTCCATAATTGGAACAACCGAATAACCTTGCTTACCACAGAAATAAACATTATCCAGATGGATCCGCCATATCCAACTTCTACACTATTCAAGTTTTTCAGTTTATACATTAAAATGTCATTTTTTTATGTTATAACACATCCGAGTTTAAATATAGCTGTTTCAGTTCTGATTTTCCCATTATTCTCTAGGTAGATTATGGCATGCTTATCCAAGCTTATAATTAGTGATATGTATAATTGGGGTAAACAGACAAATAGGAGATAAGAGTCCATGTGGGAAAGTAAAATTAGGGTTCTAATCTCAGTAATTACATGCCTTGAGTTTTATCAGTTGTTTAACAAGCTTGAAAAAAAAAAATAGGCATGGCATCCTACACATAATACATAGAAGAGATCAGGGCTTTCAGACTGGCATTGGACAGCTTTTGGTTCTTTTGTCGAGTTTAAAATTCTCAGTCCAGCTTCACAAACAACATTATACCTAGAAAGAATATTTGGCAGATATTAAGACAAAACATAAAATTCTGTAAATAAATAAATGCAATATTGAGCTGATTTTATGGACTATTTGAAACAGTAAGAAATGAAGTACAATGCTGAGGAAATGTAACACAGCAATCAACTGTGGGCAGCACAGTGGCTTAGTGGTTAGCATTTCCACCTGGCAGTAGTAGGGTCATTGGTTCAAATCCCAACCACAGCGCCACCTGCCTGGAGTTTGTATGTTCTCCCTGTGCCTGTGTGGGGGGTACTCTGGTTTCCTCCCACACCCCAAAGACATGCTGGTAGGTTAATTGGATCCTGTCTAAATTGGCCATAGTATGTGTATGTATGAATGTGGGTTAGGGACCTTAGATTGTACACCCCTTGAGGGTTA